TCTCTTCTGGTGAGACCCTGCTGAGTGATGCACACGACACTCTCAGGGATGCTGACTGGGTAATAACTGCTCTGTTTTCTCTCCTCTGTCTGGATCTCCTCCTAGCTGGCCGTGTTTGCATCAGGTGAGTGTTCAGTAAGCGCTGATGGTCACGTGACGTGACCGTTGTATGATTCTCCTGACTCATAATTGATGAATTTCACAACATTAAGTTATTTTCATGTTGATTAACTTGTCGAATCAGTCTGTTGTATAAAGCTCTGTAGAAATGAATGTGATTTGACTTGTGATAAATACACACCAGTACACCATTGACTGAAATATAAAACATAAAGTGAATATTCTTTATGATTTCAGAGAGCGGACTCCTCCGCGACCGCAAGGACAGCGGCCGGAACCAGAGAACCGTGGCGTGAGTGTCACTTTCTCTTACAAAATAAACTAGCTGCATATTCAGAATTATTGTCATTGTTACTCAATATAAGCAGGCTCATAAGCTTTTCAGTTTTTTTTTCTTGCTGTAAATAAAACAGATTATTGGAGGATGTTTTACTAGAAAACTCAATTTCAGTCTTTCTACGTCAAAATTGCTCATTTAATTTAATGCCACCGTTTCTTTGTAATGTTTTGTGAAATTTAGTATCAATCTCTGAGTAAAAATTGTTTCTACGTGAATTTAAAGACAATGACCGCATAGCAACACCTTAGCAACCACCCCAAGTACCCTAGCAACACCCTAGCAACCACCACGATTACCCTAGCAACAGCCCTGGGTGCCCTAGCAACCACATAGCAACACCCTAGCAGCCACCCTGATTACCCTAGCAACCACCCCAAGCACCCTAGCAACCATCCCAAGTACATTAAGTAAATTCTGACTTTTTTTCTCAGAATTGCACAGTTTTTAAAATGTATATCCCATCAAAGCTGATAAAAGCGTTTGCAATGTGGCGTGTATCATTGCACAAGACGTTTGTGATGAAACGGTTACGTGGATGACGGCGGTTGCTTTAGTGCCTACCTGTAGATAATTCATTAGTCAAACGAGCGTCCCGCCGGGGCTTATTAAGGACAGAAGCTGGAAAGAGCTCAGCGGCGCGATGACAACATCTGACCTTTAAGATTGCATCACATTCTGCTCTCTCTCAACTCCTGAAGGTCTTGCATAAGGATTATTTACTCGATTGTAGTATGCAAATATAAAAAAATCTAGTTTTCCTCTAAATGAGAATGCAGTCATCATCTATTGGCTCTCCTGTTGTTCAGACTCGTGTGTTAGAGGCACACAAACAGAGACGTTTAGCAGAATGTTCACGCTGCTCGACCATTAAACTCTCAGACGAGGAGCTGATGCTATTCAAAGTCGTCAGGTAACCCACATGTAATTGATTATTCCGGAATCAAACATGCATGTGATCGTTTGGAGCAGTTCATAAACAAATCCAATTCAGAGGTGCTGCTTTATTCATGCTTTTATTTAGTTTTTGATGCTAACCATGGAACAACATTTAAAACTACCAAACTGTGCATAATCGCAACCCATCATAATAATCACTGCAGTTAGTGTTTTTTTGCGTTGGCTGTATTTTTAGTAATTTTTTACCTGATCAAAATATACCGACTGCAGTTTGAGATTAATTGGAATGCACAAAATCTTTAAATATTGTTAAAAACGAAGTTATCGGTTTATGCAAATTAACTCTTGATATATAGACAATGGCCAGATTATTCTTAAATGTATTTAATTATTAATCTTTCATGTTCCAGAAATTAAAGAACAGTTTGACACAGATGATGTACATTTAATTTCTTTTTTAAGTAATAAATCTGAAGTAAGTGTAATATAATGCAGTGTTAATGTGTTTGCAGGGCTTTCAGGGCTTCGGCTTCGGCGATGGAGGCTTCCAGATGTCTTTCGGTATCGGCGCTTTTCCTTTCGGGATCTTCGCTACAGCGTTTAATATCAATGACGGACGACCGCCTCCAGGTGTGTGCTGAACCTGTGAAAGACGCTTGCATGAACACATGATTGGGTGAATGATATCACTAAACGTCAAGAAAATACAACGAGAGATTCTTCATGCATGTTACAGATTTTATTAAGAACAATTCACCCGTGCATGTTTTTTTTTGACTTTGTAAGGTTTAATGAACAATCCATAACTGCATCTTTCTGTGAAGATGCCATATGCAGCACTTCTCCAGTCATTTAGTCTCTTAAGCTCCGCCCCTGCAAGCTTAAGCTCATCTGCATACATGTGAGCCACGCCCACATCTCAACATCCAATCAACAGCTGATGCACAGAACCAAGCCCCGCCCTACATTTATTCTTTAATAATAATTGCACTCAGATGTACGTCACAACACAGAAGTTTATCCTGACTTTAACCATTTTTATGTTTATGGGTGATTCTATAATTGGAGATACATTTGTCATTAGTTCTTACATTAAGAAACCCTGGCGTAATGTTATGTTTAATGCACTTCATGATGTTCATATATCAAATAATGGACTATATTTTCTTTGTTTTTTTCCATATCAATGTTATCATAATCCAAAAAGTAGACAGAATACATTAGCCTAAAATGAGTAACCTAGTTACTATGTTACTATAATGTATCATGTAATCTGTAATTATTTTTTACTGTTAATATAAATTACAAGTAATATAAATAATAAATATCGTGTTGTTTTAACTAAAAACAGTGTTCAACGTTCAAAATGTTTAATCTGGTCTAAATACGAAGTTCCGGCATGAAACTCTAGATGGCGCAGTCCGATAGGTCTAACTCAATATGACATAATGACATCATCATCACATGGCACAGCTGATTGGTTCTCTCCTGTATCGGTAGCCAATGAGCTCGCTGCTCAACATACTCGGCAGTGTTTGCTGTAGCAGTGCTCTTCAGAAACCCTCCACCTTCCCCAGCTCCACCTTTATAGGTATTTCTTACATGCTCATTATCTAATTCATCTGCACATGAGCAGCCTGTCTGATGCCCTCGCCGCTCTCACGCCAGCACACACAAATGCATTTAATAAAGATTGGCACAATAACATTTAATTACTTTTTAAACTACCAAAACCTGGACATGAGCTTTAAACATTCAGATAACAGTGAAGGCAAAATATACAACACATAGAAAACTCCCACTTTGGAAGTTGTTGCAATGAAATATATACAGAAATACAGCATCCCTTATATGATTTAATTATAAAGCATGCAAAAAATGTTTGAGAGGACAGAGTCTCCAGGCTTCCATCACTGTTCACTGCTCTTTAAACTCTGCGTCAAACATGATCTGCTGGATCTGCATCTTGACGGCGGCTCTTTTCTGCGGCGTCAGTCTTTTGAGGGCAGGGACGTAACTCAAGAGAAACAGCTCGTCCTCGTCGAAGGCTTTGAGGTTGCTGGCAGAGGCTGATGGCGTTCTCATGTGTATCTGCTCCTCGGGAGACTCCAGCTGCTCCGGGGCCTCGGCGTCACCGAGACACTTCTTCTCTCTGACGCGAGCGTCCAGGAACGACAGGGTTTCTCTGTAATGCAAGCGCCGGCTGCCTTCTTCCCTCCTCAGCTTGCATTCCACCACTGCACGGAAACAAATTACATTATACAATTATACTGCTGTTCATTCTCCAAACAATTATCTACAAATACTCAAAACAACAACAAAAAACAATTACACTGTAAAGAAAAAAAGATTATTGGAGTAGCCTACCTTTTACAAGAACATACCATTCCAGTTTTAAAATGTTACATTTTCAATGTTACTATTACTTGACACATTATTTGTGAAATTCAACAACACTGCAACAACATTTTTTTCAGTGTACCGTGATATTAGTTTTTAATTATGGGAAAACATACTTCTCAACATGCCCTATGTGCACACTTAAAAATTAGAAAGATAATAATAAAATTCCTCTCATTGGTGATTTCATGAACCTTTAACATCCATGGAGTCTTTCCATTGCACAAAAGAGTTTTTAAAATGGAAAAAAAGATTCTTTAGATGATTAAAATGCTCTTCACACTAAGAAAAGATGGTTTTAGGAACTGATCACTGAAAAGTTCACCAAAACCGGTCCTTCTTTGGCATCACTATGAAAGCCACCTTCATTTTTAAGAGTGCATATGCTAATATTTACTATGCATGCACTTATAAATATGATTTTATTCAGTAATTCCGTGCAAGAAGCATTCTACACTAGCACTGTAAACTGAGGATATAATATCGCAGCGTAGCGCGTAATGTTGACGCACTGACCGGAGAGACCGATGGACGCGGCGACCTCACGCCACGCTTTCACGCGCCGCTCCGCGCTGCGATAATCGAGCAGCGACGCGTTATAAAGCAACGGGTAAGCGCAGACGCTCTGGATGAGTTCCTCCGCCTCAGCCATTGAGTTCACCGAGCAGCGGAGGAGACGCGTTGTTCAGATCGTATTTCCGGAACGGCACGGTCGCGTCAGTAACGCGCGACTCACGCATCGCAACCGATTGGTAGAGAAGAAATGTGAGGTAGGAAGGAGAGAGAGGAGTCAAAGAGTATACCCAGGGTTTTAATGGTAGTGGAAGGTCGAACCAAGATCCCAGCAATGTAGAGTGATCTACGTTTTTTGGTGAACCATCAAGAAGTAGACCTGTTTATCAGTGTTGAGTTTGAGAAAGTTACTGGTCATCCAAGCAGTTATATCATTAATACAAGCCGATATGGGGTTGGTTGGAAAGGGAGATCAGTTGTGTTGAGAACTGATATTGAGCTGGGTGTCACATGCATAGAAATGGAAGTTGAAGCCATGATGAAGGATAATGTTACCTAAAGAAAGCATGTAGATGATGAAGAGTAAAGGCCCGAGGACAGAGCCCTGAGGAACACCGTGAGAGCCAGGGGCAGTAGAGGCGGACTGCGATGTAATGCTGACGGTCAGACAGGTAAGAAACGAACCAAGATAGGGTAGTTCCAGAAATACCAAGAGCAGGCAGTCGTGAGATGAGAATACTGTGAGAGATGCGTCAAAAGCAGAGGAAAGATCTAATGCTAATGGAGCCGGAGTCAGTGGCCATACGGAGGTCTCTGACAACCTTCAGAAGTGCTGTCTCAGTGCTGTGGAGAGTGCAAACAAACGGGCTGGAACATCCATAGAGGTTATGAGATGACAAATACGACTGAAGTTGAGCAGCAACAACGTTTTCAAATAGCTTCGAAAGAAGCGGAAGTGTCTGTAACTGGCCATATCAGACAGCTCAAGGCCGGGTTTCTGTAAGACTGGTGTGACAGCTGCAGGCTTTAATTCAAGAGGAACAGCACCAGTGCTGAGAAGCTGAGAAGCTGAGAAGCTGAGAAGTGAAATAAGCAGCAAGAGAACAGCTGCAGAGTTTTTGATTTGATTTCTTGAGAAGCTGGAAAGAGATCATGTATGTGATTTATTACACAGATCTTGTGTGTGAGATACTAATACATAACTCTTTCTGTAATTATTTCACTTTTTACATTTACATTCGTTCATTTAGCAGATGCTTTTATCCAAAGCGACTTACAAATGATGACAATAGAAGCAATCAAAACCAACAAAAGAGAAATAATATGCAAGTGCTACATTATCTCAACACAGTACAGTAGAGAGGTTTATATGTATGTATATAGGCTATACACACACACACACACACACACACACACACACACATATAACAAAAACAAGTAGATAGAATAGAGAAAGCTAGTGTCTTTTTAAAGAAAAGTTAGAAAACGAATAGAGAGTGCTAGAATTAGAGGGTCACATACAGATGGAAGGGATGTGTTTTTAGCTGTTTCTTGAATATTTGTCATTCTGACAGACTTGTGAAACACTGAAGAATAGCGTTATGTTGGTGTTCTGCGGCGTCGACGGATAAACACGCGATCAGGAGCGTGTGACGGACGCGTTGTTTCTATTTGTGACGCGACGCTCCGCTTAGTCCCGCCCACAGCGAGATCTGATTGGTCCAAAATACCGCCGTGACGCCCCGCTTCTGCGGAAGACGCACTTCTGACGCGACGGTGTGTGATTCCGTTCGACGCGCGTCTCAGCAGCGCGTCAGAAAACTCAATGGCCGTGACTGAGAAACTGATCCAGAGCGTTCACGCTAACCCGGTGCTTTATAACGTGTCGCTGCACGACTATCGCAGCGCGGAGCGGCGCGTCAAAGCGTGGAGGGAGGTCGCCGCGTCCGTCGGTCTCTCCGGTCAGTGCGTCATTACGCGCGTCCTTTCCGTTCCAAGCGCTTGACTTTACAAGTGTTTTGACTGTTTTGCAGACTTTAAAGATCTCACACAGCAGCACTTACACGCAAGAGACGCGACAAACGACAACGCGTCCGTCTGAATCAAGCCGCGACGCGGACCGGACGCGTTCTAATTTGACGCGGTATAAACGCCGCACAGCGTGATGAAGCTAACGGAGTTCATTTAGGACGCGTTCTCGAGTCCTAGAAGAGTTCTTTGATTAAGATTTCAACTTTGAATAACGCGTGACAGAATAAAGTTAATAACCTCCCGAAGCTTTATGAGCACTTCATTCATGAAATACAGTCATATTAACAGATCAAAGTATACAATATACACCCGATTGATGATGCAGATTTATTTTGTACCATCTTTATTTGACCCTCTAACTCTAGCATTCTCTATTCTAATTCTATTTGTTGACTTGCTCTCTCTATTTGTTTTCGTTTTGTTTTATGAATAAATAAATACATATGCATTGGGCTGAGACTCGTTATAGCTGCATATTATTGCTCTTTTGTTGATTCTGATTGCTTCTGTTCTCATCATTTGTAACTCTGGATAAAATGTAAA